TTTTTTTTTGTCTTGCTCATACGCTCACTTATAGTTTGCACTTATTTCTACACACTAACACTGAGAATACGTCAAAAAGAGCAATATAACTATTTCTGGATTTTTTTTATACGGAGCTTCGCGGGGATCGAACTCACGGCTTCGCGCGCGGCGATACGTCTACTTATCAATTCTCTTATTGACTCTAATTCACCCTATATTGCAGAATCACATAATCACAAACCATGGGACTGGTAGCTTAGCTAAGTACAACACTTAAGATTTAACTCATCGAGTACCGGTTTTGTAGACACATTATAGAACAATAGGTTGCGGTCACCGGTGACCGCTTGGTGTTTGACAGTTTAATCACTTACTTGCATAACTTCCATAATCTCCTGTGCATGTTGTTCCACCAGCTCGTCAAGTCTTGCATCACTCTTCTTGTACTCCTTCTCTAGTTTCGCCCTCTCTTTCTCTCGCTGTTCATTTGTCTCACTCGCTGAGAGGGTGCGGATCACTGACATAAGCAAACCACTCTGAAAAATGTAATAATGATTAAAATAAAATTTGTAGATATGTATGGGTATTCAATATTTTAGGATATTACTTTTTAGTTTGATAACTAGTTACAATACGGTGTTATCGTCCCACAGGGGACATTACATTATTAATAGTGAAGTTTTCTCTTAATTAGTCATTCAATAATTACCTACAATCTATTGGTAAATCAATGATTTAAATTACAATGGGTCTATGACCATACAAAGAATAAGAAATAATGTTGTTTTCAATAAATAGAAAGCAGAATATCATTGGAATACCAGAAATTCCTTACTTTATCTCGTGAATACATGTTTGTCGGTCAAATACTAAATACTCACTGTCTCTTTTCCTTGTTTAACACCCCGAGGGGGTTTAGTAGGAGGAGGAGAGGACATTACGTTGTTTTATTATTGTAATTCGGTGGTTTTCCTTATTTTTGTGATAAAATAATGATATCACAGTTATGTGTATGTACGCCCCTTGAAATAAAACAACACCAATTGTCAAAGATGTCAATTGTCAAAAAATGACAGCCGACAGCTTCCTTATGTCAGATGTTGATGTAGATGTTACTCCTGTTCAGAAATCTGAAATACTTGTATAGTAAAACTGGTAAATAAACTGGGTTCTTACATGTTGATAACGATTATTTTAATATCCTCAATATTTAATAAAAGTGACAATGAGAGCTAACTAGCAAACTTTGCTTACTGTAATTCTATTTCAGCATTTTCACAACGAAGAAATTGACGTCGTCTCTTGTCATCTGTTTTTCTGTCAAATTATCATTTTTGAATTCAAAAAGTCCGTTTGTTTACAATTAATTTATTTTACATCGTACGTCGTTATAAATTATTGCAAAATAGAACTGTAACAAAGAAAGTACCTTAGTTTCGAGTGCCAGTAACCATGGATTACTCCACTATCAGTAACAAGACCAACTATACAGAGGCTGAAGAACTTACAAATGGTGAACTGAGTGAACGGTATTATTTGCTCAAGAAACAATACGACAATCTGTCGAGTAGTTATGAAGCGACCAAACAAGAGGTACACGATGCTAGGAGAAGCTACCAAACAGCTTTGGACGTTCAAAGGCACTTGAATGCTGAGTTAGAAAGTTACCAGGCTGATGAAGGTCGACGTAAGAATGAGTTCACTACTCGTATAACAAACCTTCAAGAAGAAATCTCAGAGCTAAAAGAAGAACGTACACAACTCACCGAACAACATGCAGCAGAAATTACTAAGTTTGAAACTCAGATTCGTAATTTGAAAGAAGAACAATCTTTAAAAGTACGAGAAAGTCCGGAGCGAGATAATTCTGAGTTAGAAGACGCGCGGAAAACTGTGAATAGCGCTTTGTCTGATGCCGCTGCCGCGAAAGCAGCGCTTGAAGAAGCCAAAATGGAAATCGCATCATGGCGCTTAAAAGCTGAAGAGTTAATCTCTGAGATGGGTGAGATGCGTGCAGCTGCTGACCTTAGGAGGGAGGAGCTTAGGGCTGCTAATGAGAGGGAAGCTACAGCGCTTGCTGAGTTAGCTGAAGCCAAAGCTATGCTTCATCAGTGCACAGATATTCAGCAGGAACTACAACCTCATGGTAAGTATTGTCTTATAAATGTAATTTATTTTGAACTTGTGTAAAACTAAATAAATAACACCATATTTCTTATTTTAGCTGCTAAAGGTAATTCCATTTTTGCTGAAGTTGAAGACAAGAGGCAGGAAATGGCAAAGAATCTCATTCAGATGAAACAAACAAATTCTAGGGTAACTATTTTTTAATTAATAAATTAATTGTAACAAATACAAAATTATACCGTTACTCTCATCCATTAATTAGATAGTGATCTATATGATTGTTCAATTTCTTTAAAATTTACTCAGCAGTTTCAAAGATCTGTATAACATCCTTTTACATTTATAAGTTATGAGACTGCACAGTTGGTGCAGTGGCTGGGCAACCGGCTGCCAGGCAAAGTGATGCGGGTTCGAGTCCTGCATGGAACAGCTCTTTATGTCCACCAAATGTTGTTCCGGGTCTAAGTGTCATCTGTATGTAAACGCACCCACTATACAGGAGTGGGGTATCCCACTAGTGGGGGGCAACATTTTTTTAAATTATAAGAAAAGCATTTAGTAGGATGTCACTTTAATCCTATATTTTATGTTTGTTTTTAGCTGAGAAGAGAGCTAGCAAACAAGCAAGCAGAGGTAGATGCCTTGCTGCATGAGAAGCAAACAGTCTGGGAACAGCAGGCCGGAGCTGCAGCTCACTATGATAGAGAACTTATTGGTTAGTATTATCATTTCGGAAGGTAATATTCTTGTTTCTGTCTTCATTACAAGTTGTTTTCTTTTCTCAATGTCTTGTCCTAAATATCATTATCTTGGCTATTTTGTACAGAATGTTTTTGGTTGGCTTTCACTTCTTTTGGTAGAAACTTGGACATACAGATTTATAATTTTTGCCAGTGGCGCTATCTCTTAGTTTTTGTGTAGTAAACTCTTAGTCCAATGCATTATAAAATTTTATCCAAATGGAGCTAAATTAATATATTTAATAATTTGTGTGATGTGTGGCGAGTAGAATAAAGTTAATGGGCTGACTATTTCTTCTTGTAAACTTGTTAGTATATGTATGAAAGGCGCACTAGTCTTAAAAAAACATGTTGTCCTGGAGTGACTTTTAAATAATTATCAGTTAATTTATATTCTGATTATTACAGAAAGTTATGAAGAACGTATCACTCAGCTAGAAGGCGCCTGTGAGAAGCAGCGCCGCGAGCTGTCGCGGTGGTTCGGGAAACTATGTGAGCCCACTGCCAATGGCTGGCTGCCTGGAGTACTGGACCACTTGAAGTATGTTTTAAATCTGAATAATTTTACTAATAATTTGATTGATATTTCAACAAATGAACTGATTTTAAGCTTCGTTTGATTTTACTCTCCAATCAAGCGGACTAGCAATAGACCGTGTTCAGTGGTATAAGAGTTCAGTGGCGGTCAAAAACAAGCAGCATGTCACGAAAAATAAACAGTGTTCAAAAGCTAAGATACAAGCTATTTCAGCTTAAATCCAAACACGTCAGTTATTTACTATCTGTGACATCTTTAAGGACTTATGACTTACTCAACGATCAGTGGCGTAGCGTTTTGGCGGGGCCCCGTATAAAACATTTTTAGGGGTCTTTGAAGGGTAGAAATTTTCTTTACTCACTAATAATACAACAACTACCTCTGCCCAAATTAGCGGATTACGATTAGGTACTTACTTTAGTTTTTCTAAAGTTTCTAGCCAACCAACCTTTGAATGTATGCTATACGCCACAAAATTCATTTATTTTGACCTTTGTGACAACTGAAATAAAATAAAAATTGCGAAGTTCTTATTAATTTTTGCTTACGCACGTCGCGGGGGCCTCTGTGGTCCGGGGCCCCGTATAATTGATATGGCAGATACGGCGCCAGCTACGCGCCTGTATACTGAAATACTCAAACACGCTCTCGCGCTCAAATATAGTACAGTCACGATATTTAAGCACAACTTAAAATTGATTAGCCTTTCAGGCTAAGGTAAGGTAAGGTATTCGGGCGTTCCTGTTTCAATTGTCACTATCTTAGTTTATCTCATTTGTTTCTGTCTTATTGCAGATCAGAATGCGAGCAACTTAGAGCCGAGGTACTATCGCGGGGCGCAGCACAGCTCGCCAGCGCGGCGCAAGTCAGGGAACTTCGTAGAAAACTGGCACTGCTCACTGCATCTGCCACCAAGCAGGCAAACTCCCCCGCAAACAAACCTGACCCTAACACAGATCACAATAAGACTGATATTGGCATGCCTAAAGTTGCTGTGCAAGTTAGAAGTAAACTCACTCCTGATGATGTTAAGAAGAAAGTGTCTTTTAATTAAAAATTGTGAGTGAAAATGGTTCAAACATTATACACAGAATTTTAAACTTTATAGTAGGGGAGCCCATGAAGAGATTTCGGTAGTTACTCGAGCGCGTCAGATTAACATATGGGGAAAACCTAGTGTCATGTTGAATATACCCAACATATATCCGATCTGATCAGAAGGGGGGGACTGAAAATTAAAAAAAAAGTCTGACTAAATAAAGTCAGTTTCGTCAGATTAAGGGAAGGTAGGTCAATACCGTGCCAAAGGAAGTGCGTTTAAAAAATCTGCCCATTCCAACTTGATTTGCAAGAGTGGGGGGATTTTGAAGGGTTCTCGTTTGTACTCTCCAGAACATTCAACCCCACCATGCAAACTGGCAGATTAAGAGTTTTTTATTATTAAATACACATGGAGCATGTACATTATCAATATCTGACACGCTCGACCACTAGAACAAAAGTTACGCTTAACAATTTCAAAGATCTGTAGATTCCCTCTTCCCCCACTGGTGGAAGAAATTGTCACTAAACCATTTCTTCTTTCTATCAGCATATCTTCAAAATCTAGTAGGTCCCAACGACGCTCAAGTAAATCCCAATTTAGCATCGTGGGCTCCCCTACTATTATGCACACTGAATAAAATTAAAAATTGTGTGTAAGAGGGCCTTAACTAAAACGATGTATTGTTATGTATAGTTAAGTAGGTATAGCTAATTGTTAAGTTAAATAAACATAAACAAACAGTATTGTAACTTTTATTAACGACTACAGTATTTACACTCAATACTTTAATTAACAGTACAAAATATTTTATTTCAATCAAATATGAGTGAGACAGTTCCATAGTCATGCTAGAATAGAAGTATTTAATAGTGATTCTGTGTTCGACAGTTTTAGTTATGGAACAGAAAAAAACATTTTGCATACCTTTCTTTACATAGTAGATTTTTTTTTTTTTTTATGCCATAAGCCGGTAAACGAGCAGACGGATCACCTGATGGTAAGCAATCGGCGTCGCCCATGGACATCTAGAACACCAGAGGCGTTACAAGTGCGTCATCGGCTTTTTGGGGATTAGGAGTTTGAGGATCGTTGGGGATTCAGGGATTGGGGAAATTGGGGAAGGGGAAGGTAATTGGGCCTCCGGTAACCTCACTCACACGACGAAACACAATGCAAGCGTTGTTTCACGTCGGTTTTCTGTGAGGCCGTGGTATCACTCCGGTCGAGCCGGCCCATTCGTGCCGAAGCATGGCTCTCCCACACTTAAAGATTATGTCCCACACTTAGATATAATAATATGGATTGGGGTTTGATTTTGAAAGTTACTGGCTCTTAATTCTGAAAACATTTTAAATGCAGTTAATCAATCAATCATTTCAATATTTGTATATATCTGTAGGTTATTCGATAAGTATAGATTTAATTTCGGAATGGTAGGTATAGGTACAGCGACTTATTTGAAGTTGCTTGAGTTAGAATCAATCAATTGACGATAAAGTCGTCATACAACACAAAATTCGACTTGATTAGGATTATAAAAATCTTACTACTTCTATTACTAGTTCACAGCGCCTACCTTTCTCAAATTAAAACGAGATTAGTGGTAGGGTATTTAATAGATACTTATGCCGGAATACTGAAACGTTACTCAATTTTAAGTCGTGCTTAAATATCGTGCCATCTCTGTCATTTCACAAAGAATTTGTAGCGACAGAACTATACTTAAGCGCGACTTAAAATTGAGGAGCGTTTGAGTATTCCGACATTAATCAGAGTTCAAAATCAATATTATGTATTGTTAGATTGTGGTATATGATGGTGACGCAGTAGGCCGCAGTACGTCAGCTGGAGGCGAGCTCCCTGAGCGCGTGTTCCCGCGCGCGCGCCACGTGCCGCGTGCGCCGCGCCCGCTCCCGCGCGTCGCGCATTGTACGAGCACGCAATCGCGTCATCGCAGTCTCCTGCACGCACTTTGTGAATGCTCCTGGAGAATGAAGGATAAATTAATTAGCAAGTGGAAGATACCTTTTTTACAGATGACGCTAGTATTAACCTCATATCTATTGGTGCAATGGGTCCCGCCTCTAGACGTTAAAAGTTTGATAGCTACAGTGATTGGTCAAACTGGCCATTTCCTAGATTATCGCCATCTAGTGGGCAAAACTGGTAGCTCTCATTAGTAGGTATTAGCATGTATCCTTCGATCAACAATAACAACTAGATATCGGGTCGGCGCAAGAAAATCGTCTCGACAAATAAGAGCTCACTTGAGAAGTGAGCTCTTATTTTGTTTAGTATGCTCCAAACACGGCCAACGTACTCACGTCTCGCGATGCCGCAGTGAGTAAGTGCAAGTTGCAAAAATAATAACCGAAAAAGCAGTATAACGGCAGGAGTGTTTTACCATATACATTACATAAAATATAAGTTATATTTTAAGCTTTTAAACTAGTAAATAATATTAAATTAGACAAAATTATCAATTATAAACCAACGCCACCAATGTTTGTGCGTGTGTTGGCGATCCCTTGGCCAAACCTCGCCAACACGTGCCCAAACATTTGTTTAAACAGAACAGTGGATGCATGGAGTCCATTTGTATTGTAAAATAAAATTGTATTGTAACCTGATTGGCAATGAGTATCTAACCTATGGAGTTTATTGCTCATTCTTCTCCATAGGAATCTACACCTTGGAATGAACAATTAGCTTCACTTTTAAATTTATATTGTTGACGTTCAAAAGTGCCTTCCTGGTCTAACTGAAATAAATGATTTTGACTTAGACTTTTAATGATAAAGTAAATAAACATATCATACACAAAAACGCACCGCTAATAAAAATAAGTGATGTACCTATACTAAGATCCCGAAATCTTAATTTTCATATTATAAAATTATTTTAGTGTCCAACGCGACTCCATACATACCTCCTGTAGCAAAATTCGAAATTTGAAGAAGCAAAACGAAACAAAACAAAACTATATAGATCGCAAGACAATAATGGAAAAAATATCTTTATTTGTTTAAGGTTAAGGTTGAATTCAAACTAGATATTGTATAACTTATGTCTTTTAATTTCTACATGACAGGAGTAAGAAAATACTTTTCTCGTCTTATGAGACAAATGGTCGTAAGTATTAGATAATGTATTTTGAAGATTTATGACTATATTATTAGGTACCATGGTTGTTATTAGGTTGAACTTAAAACTATTTTAAAACATTTTTCTCTGTTTGTTATTTTTTTACTATTATTATTCACACGGACAGAACTGGAGCTTGATTTTGTACGTAACCCTTTATCTAGTTGCTATTGTTGATCGAAGCATGTATCAAATACCTAAAGGACAGCTCTATATTAAAGCATATCTCTAAAAGTTTGAATTGCAATGTATTCCCATTCACGATCGTTCAATATTCAAAACAGTCCTTCAGTAACATTAATCCGTTTCCACTTACCCACAGTTTCCCAACACTTGATAATGTCGGAACCCGTCTTGGATGCGTCGTAGCACTCGATGACGCGCTGCTTGCAGTCTGCACAGACTGGCTCCACGCTCACCATGTTTGAAGTACGTACGTCTATCCGAGCCGCTAAAGCGCTCAGATCTTCTACTGTTATTCTGAAACAAGAAACGATGCATGACAGAATGGCCAGGCAAGTGCATAACTCTGCTGCTATGTAGACGGTGTTGCAGCTGTTGACGTGTCCTTGTGTCGTAGGTATCGTCATTAGTTAGAGACTGATGGCTGATACCTACATATTACCTCTTTCGGCAAATTCGGCTCGAAGCAGTTTACCTGATTTTCTTTGTCGAGAAGGTGGATGCTGGCTGCCTGCAGGTATCAAAAATCGTCACAAACGTATTGCGCGGCACCTACGTTTGTAGCGTCTACTAATCATACCTACTTCAAGAAGGCGTTACCCGGTTATCTCAGAGTGGCTCTCGTCCATACACTTGAGTTTCTCTATAAAGATCTTGTCTCTGTAGTCCCCACGTGCTGTGGGCTGTGTATTCGCGGCCGCCGTTCCTCCACTTAACGTTGCATCTTCTACTAATCTTTCGACCTGACAACAAAAGTGCAAACTAATATGTAATTTAAGGCCAGTTTTCAGTCTCAGCGTCCTAAATCAGATCCTATCAACTCTGGAATGATCTGTCGTCGGCGGTATGACCGAACCGATACGACCATCAAACCTTCAAGAAAAGAGCATAGTTAAAGGGCGGCACCGCACCTATGATTCCACTGGTGTTGCATTGCAGTATCCACAGGCTGCTAATCGCTAATCATTAGGTGATGTGTCTGCTCGTTTACTTCCTATTCCATAAAAAATACTCGGCCTCAAGGTCACAATATCATTAGGGAATGCATTCCTTGTAGGGCGCATTTAATCCACAGTTAGTTGAAGTTCATAAAATTACAAACCATTTTATTTGATATACTAATGTGGTGCTCATCAGGTTCTTCTTCAATGAAAGACTCCGTGGCAGATGCTTTGGGTCTCTGGAATGCTGTGGCGCGAACTGATTGGTTGGAACCCATCTTGAATCTGATACGAAGATATAACAGAAAAATTGTGGCTTTTTATCTAAAAAAGTATCTAAGGACCAAAAATGTGATAATCAAAAGACCAAATATGATTACCTTGGTAACCCTTAGGGCTTAGCGAATTTTGGATGGCAAGTGTCAGTCGCTTTATGTAAAAAGTTGACATTCATCTGAATTTGGCTTAAATTCAGTGCTGACTCTCAATCTAACCAATTCGAGAAAGAACCAGGAAAAAGACAACAAGTACCTAAGTTGAAGACTCCAGATCTTTCGACGATGAGGTAGCAGAGTCATTAAAATCTAACCAGCTGTGTGTTATTCATAATCATGTGTTTTGAGCAATGACTCATATGGGATGTTGTTTGTTTTTTGATAACTTAAATTCATTTTTAGAACGGCAACTTTACCTTTTTACCGACTTCATATATTTTAGTGTGACCAACAAAACAAAATACCTGAATGGATTTTAAACTTGTTAGGCTCGCCTGCATTTCGTGGTCAGCTATCCACCCAGTGTTTATCAAGACAACTAAATATTTTATATAGTATTAGATAAATGATATTTTAAACTTTCTCCTCCCGTTTTGGATGGGAGAGGGACTGTCAGACTCTTACTGACTAAAAACCACCCCGTTATTACTCCTACACTTCGAGCCGGAGCCCTGATAACCCGTTAAACATCTGCGGCTTCGCAAAAGGTACCAGGTAGGTATGTATCTACTTCTTCCCTACCTGATCCTTCTTAAGAGCATCACTAAAAACATTACCTTGAATTATCACAACGATCTGAATGTTTAGATCTATCAGTCTGGGTGTCCGTCTGTAGACACAATTTAAATCTTCAATAAAGTTGTCATCTCCAAATTATACCTACTTACACGTGGACATCAAAGATTTATTACACTAGTAATGTCAAAGTTTTAGAACATTTGCATCGAATAGTTCCGGTTCATTAGTTCATTAGTAAGGTTAGACAATACCTACTTAATCATATTAGAGGTTAGAACAAAAACTCTACAGGAAAAGCGCTCGAATAAACTTTAGGAAGATAAGTTACGCAATATAATTAAAAATGGCATTAGATTTGACGTCTGACGTAATTAATACTTCAGTAAAAAACTTACTGGTATAATTGATTCTTACACCAGAATGGTTAAGGATCCCAATGAAAGGCACCATGGGAAATAAACTAAATGCAAGGGTGTTTCTAGATCAGGGGCCTGAATCTGCTATGCAATACCACAGTCTATAGCCGTGGTCGTCAAACTGCGGTCCGCACGCGTTACTTGTGCGGCACGCGTTAAAGTAGATTTCTTTAATTAATAGTCAACTACATAGCTTCTTTACGTATACCTATACTACCAATACATATGCCATAATCATAAACAAAATCAAAATCCGACTTGTGGAGACGACCGCTGGAGACCAATACAGTCAAAGGAGCTATTAGGCTGTATAGCTCCGTCCCTCTTGCAGTGTTCAATGATCGACCATTCTGACACAATTGTAATAGCAGACTAAGGCCCCTGGAGAGCGGCTCCCGAGCAGTGCGTTTGCTAGATATAGACGCAATGCCAATTTTTTAGTATCCTATATTATAGCCTAAGTTAGACACTAGATAGGTACATACAATACTACTCACATTATAATTCTAATTTCCATGTAACAGAAGGCCAATACCTACATAAATAAAAAAAAAAACAGTAAATGGTAAATCACGAATTTTATCTACAGAAAAAAATGTTTCCTACCAGTTTAGCTTATCAAAACATTAATTAAGTCGGAAGTTGTAATTTTACATTTAAAATAGTACCTATTCGATTTCATTAGCATTCGGAGTGATATATTAATTATTGTTAATCGCCATAATATATTGATGTCTGTAATTTCAGGTGTACGGTTCGCTTTGTATGTACACGGAAAATAAAACATCGGATTATAGTTGTAACACACTTAATCGCTCGGCGGTTCCCTTGAGCATGAGCGCGCCTAGCGACCCGCTAGCCACGCTCCCCACCACCGACCGTCGCGCCATCTAGCGTGCAACGTTTATTATACATGGTACACTACAACAGGGTTGAGGGAGTATCCATTATAAGATTCCGTAAGCCTCAGGGAAATCTTTCCAAAGACATAGGTGAGATAATGTTCCCCGAATTTTTATAAATCGGTTTTAAATTTTAGTTGTCTTTATATTATATCCGGGAGTTGACCGGTAACTATCAACTCCGTTGAACAACTTCATGCTTGGACAGCGAAGAGAATGAACATAAAAACCTAACTGTCAATTGACAGGATTGGAAAGGACCAAGAATTGTATTTTTAAGGCTTCTTAGAATGTTTGTTTAGGAAATAATCCTAAACTACAAGACACCTACGGCATCTAGCTACTAGATAATAAAACGTAAATTATATAGGTGAGTAAATAAGTTAATTTTTAAATATGTGACGTCACAAGGGCGAACCAGTAACAATTAAACGGATAAAAAACTCCAGAACATTTCAGTTTTAGGACACTCCAGTACCAAAACAGCGAACGAGGCATGACGGTGCTTTTGTCATAGGTACATATTTAAGTAGGTGGTTGGTAGTGGTGTAAAGTGTGAGATGTTAGTGATAGGATTATAACTTAAGTCTAAAACAATATTTGAAGATGAACCAAATATCGCTAGTCAAACAACAATCTCTTACGTGGTAAATTAAATGTTTCAAATTAAGAATTTCAATAACCCAGTCATAATTGTTTCGATATTTAAAAAAAGAAGAAAAAAAAAGCCATACATCTGTCGAAATCACGATACCTATACAACAATTTTTCACGATATTTTCCGTCAAATAAAATTTTATATGACCTTCAATAAATGTCATCATGATTTGTTAAAAAGAACCACGAAATTCGTATAAAATTGATATCATGAATATTCCTCTAAATAGGTTGGTACGTCATTACCTACATCATAATGAAATCATCTTTATTTCGTTTACATTAGAGTCATTTTCGTAATTCACGTTTTAACTAAAATATGACGTGCTCGGAGTACCTACCTAGTTTATTAGACTTGTACATAATCCTAATAAGTATTAGTCAGGCAGCAAGGTATGCAATGAATAATGCATACCTAAGTAATTGACAAATAATAATAATTATTGAAATGATTATTCGTCGATTAAAAACCCAATAGAAAATGTTACATGTTTTTCTACTAATGTAGAAACGACTTCGATGAGGTTTGACAAAATAAAGGAAGGAAATCTTATGACTATTATTATAAATGTGAAAGTTTTTTTGTGAATGTTTTTCCATCAATCACGCTGAAACTATACCGAACGGATTTTGATGTGGTATACAGGCAGGATATGGGCTGACTCAGGTAATAGGATTTTTATACCGATTAAATACTCCCATGGGGTACAACAGGAAAACGCGGGCAAAGCCGCGGGTAAAAGCTAGTTATTTATAATATCTTATTTCATTATTGTATCCCGATCTACAAAAGGACCCTGTGTAATCCATAAGCGCATTTACATATGATCACATGGATTCACTATTATAGAACACTTCAAAGTCAAATTCAAAGTTGAAAGTCAAAATCATTTAGACCAGAAAGGCACTTACCTTACCTACCTCATGTTTAAATTACCTATATAAAATTCTCCATGGCACTCTAAATTTTAAATGGGTATAAATCACGATCTAATTTTAGGCTGTTTTACGCAGCAGAAAACGTTTGAGAACCAAATTTTTTATAATATAGAATTACTTAAATAAAAAAATAGCTAAGTTTTGGACTCTGTAGTTGTAGGAAACTTCTTAAATCTTAAATGAAGCTCCTTCAAAAACACGTGTTTCTGAACTCTATTGTAAATTCAGTAACCATCTTCCGGCACAAATTGGATCCGAGTTGCGCAGACGCAACACGATCTAATCTATAATCCTTGAACTTTGTCGACACCGCCCATGTAATTGGCAATCAAATGAAGGTATGAATGTCGGGTCAAGTTGAATAAATCTGACATCCAAACCTGTTCACTGCAGTATAAAAACTATTAATAAGTACCTACCTAGTAGGAAAGGTAATCACCACTTCCTTACGTATCTGAGTTTTCTGTCTGTGCTTTATATCTAACTAGCGACCCGCCCCGGCTTCGCACGGGTGCAATATGCATGTATTATACATACAAACCTTCCTTAAGAATCACTCTATCTATTAAAAAAAACCGCATCAAAATCCGTTGCGTAGTTTTAAAGATCTAAGCATACATACGGACATACAGCGAAAGCGACTTTGTCTTATACTATGTATTGAAGAACCTGAAAACCCTAGAGGGGTTTTTTTTTTAAGGGGGGATAATCATCGAATGACTGCTCCCGCCTGAGTGAGGCGGGAGGGAGTGTCAGACTCTTACTAGCCTACTAGTAACCTAGAGGGGTTAGATCCTCCTCATTTGGAAATGTTATCTCGTAAACAGTATGTCAGTAATATTTTCCTGTCCCTGACAATAGAACAAGTCAGACAGGTTTATAGGTCTTTATAGAGGTATAATTATTTCTACAGTCGCTAGATGAAACGGAATCGTACATAGGGATGGTGGAGTCAGTTCTACTGTTTGAGAGGAACCTCTTTTAACTTTTTTAAGTTCATGGTCTTTATGATCTGTTGAGAAACCCTCACAGTTCTTTTCAGTCACTAAAGGAATATATTCGGTCGTTTACATGAGCAAGGCTTACTAAATTGAGTACTTTTAAAAACGTTAAAATAGTAGTCAAAGTCATACAAATATGACGGTAACATATCACCTGGTCACAATATTTCATCAGACATTAAGATAGTCTGATTCATATTTTTATAATTTGACTCTTGTTTTTAGCAAAGATTTTACCTTCACAACCTTGGAACTAACGACAATAAGATCATAATTTTATTAAAGTAATATGTCTACTGGGTTTTAATCATTGATTATTCTGTGTTGTAGCGTAGCGGTCTTTCACGTTGTAGCCTT